CCTTGTCTCTTCCATCCTTGTGTTCATTGCATCATGTAAGTTTCAAATCTCAGTTATTGCATTTTTCATTTCTGATTGATCATTTTTTAACTGTTTTATCTCTTCAGTAAGGATCTCCTTGAGGTCTTCCATTCTTTTTTCAAGTCCAGTGAGTATTTTTATGATTGTGGCTTTAAATTCTCTATCAGGCATATTACTTATATGTGTTTTGGTTACGTCTCTGGCCATGACCTTTCCTTGTTTCCTTTGGGATGAATTCTTCCATCTTGGCATTTTCTCTAAGTCTCTGTCTTCTTCTTTGTGTTAGAAAAGCCTGTTATGGTTTCTGCTCTTAAGAGTAACAGCTTTATGCAGAAGAGGCCATATAATGTCCAGGGCCTGGTGCTTCAGGAATTGTCTTTGATATGAGCTGATGCACTCTGCTACTGTGTTCTGGCTGCTCTATCCTTCAGGCCTGGCATCCACAGAGGCTCATCTCGCTGGCTCTGGGCAGTGTGTGGTCCTTGGCCAGAGTAAGGTGAGTTTTAACTAGTCTGCTTGTTAAATGAGACCTGATGCTACTTTCACTAGAATTGAAGCTGTGCAGAACTCTTGTTGGGAGACATGGTGTGGGCAGGGGTTTCTGCTGGTCTTCTGGGGAAGAGGTCTACTGTACTGGGACTGAGGCAAACATGGCTGAGAAGGGCAGTACTGCCAGAGTTCAGGGGGGTGTGACTTGGTGTAAGGATTGGGCAGACAGTGCCAGTGCTCTGCTATTTAGTGCAGGTGGTTCTGTGCTTATGCTGAGGAGGGGTAGGAAATGGCCACCAGCTCCTTTGTCCCCAGAGAAGGGTCTCCATGCTTGCTGCTGTCAGGGAGGTACTCTAAGCAAAAAAAATAATCTCCCCTTGTGCATCCCAAACATTTTTCAGATCGAAGTTTTAATGTTGTCTACCTCCCGATTGTTTTCCTGTCTTCTCTGCAGGACCAGTGAAGTGCCCTCTAGGCATTTTACCAGCTGAGACTGCTGACTTTTAAAACTTTAGGCTTTAGGTACCTGATGTGGGTAGGGGCTTATGCTGGTCTTCTTGGGGAAAGTCTCAAAGTGCTGGGACTGAGGGAGGTTTGACTGAGAAGGGCAGTTGCACCAGAGTGTAGCACAGTGGGCACTTGGAGCAAGCTGGCTAGGCAGCCAGTGTCTGGGTTTGCTGTCCTCCGTAAATGACTCTGTGCCTGTGGTGAGGGACAAGATAGGAAAATGGCGCCCTTCAGCTCTTTTGTCCCAGGAGAGGTTACTCCTCTCAGATGTGCTCCAAGAAGAGTGAATAGTCTCTTCCTGTGCACCTTAGGAGATCCTCAGATCAAGCCATCAGCCCCAGGGTTGCTTTCCTGCTTTCTTTCCAGGAGTAGGGCAGTGCCCTCAGTGCTCTATCCCAGATAAGCCACTGTCTGCTAAAACTCCAGTTTTTAGGTCCTGCTTTTGCAAAAACTCATGAAAATCAGCCCTTCCCATTTTCCCTGTCAATGGCATTGGGGAAGTATTCTCATACTTTGGGTAAGTGAACTTTCCCTTCTGAGCCTCTTCCTCTCACATTTCTCCGTGACCAAGACTCTCCCCTCCACAGCTCCCATGATCCATTTCTTCCCCAAACCATATTTCTGCATTTCTTACCTTCCTCATTGTGGATTCTTCTCTCCCTCTAGTCGTAGAGTTTGTTTCATTAGTCTGGTCAATTTCTTGGGTATTCAGAATGATTTGATAGTTATCTAGTTGTTTTCGAGGGATGAAATGAGCATAGGGTCTTCCTATTATGCCACCATCTTAACACCGCCCTGGCCATCTTACTTCTAATTAAAATATCAAGTGATAATCAACTTAGTACTATTCACATTTTTAGATAACTCAAATTTTTAGAAAGATACGTTTCGGATTGCTGCTTCTTCCAAAATGACATTAAAAATAGGTGACTAGAAAACAGGAGGGTCTACTTTGACATTTCCTGTAAAAACATAACTGAGTATTATTCATAATTGTTCAAGATAGGATATATGATGGGGAAACACAAAAATCGAAAGTATGAGAGGAAACAAACCTTTTATTTTATTCTGTTTCTGTTTCTGCTGACAGCTTTACTGAACTAAAGATTCTTCTTGAAACTAAGGTAAAATGTCAATAGACACGGTGATTGGAGAAGGCAAATAAAGACCTAAATCTTTAGCTACTAAAGGCAAAAGTGTAACAGAAATTCTCCCAAATAATTTGAGATTTAATGTACCAATGTATGTTATTGATCAAAAATTATACATGGATATATTCTAAGGATCGAAAATAAAGCAAACTGTTTCCCTTCATTGTTTTCATTCCTGTTCATACAAGCTCCTATTTGTTTTAAAGTAAATCACTTGTCCCTATTCCTTGCCTTAATGTAACCAAGAATTTTGGACTTATGATTTCTTCACACTCACTTAACTTTTATCAATTTTATTATAAAAACAAATAAGTGAAAATAATAGAAAAACATAATATAAAAAATTAAACCTTTGTTTTTGGAATATTCTTTCCAAAATTTTATGCACTCTAGCTGCTTTATTATAAATTTCACACTAATTAATTAGGTCCTGCTGTCATTCTGTTTTGTTTTATTTACCTATGTTATCATGAACACCTCTGTCTCTGTCTCTCTCTCTGTTTATTTACTTATTATTTCATCTTCAGGTTAAATTGCAGTTTCTACTACCTTAATTCTTTTCACTTAATGCCATTATAGTTTTTACTTTTCTTTGACACAGGCTAGACTTGGTGAATGTCAAAATAATGAATACGAGTGATATTTTAGTGAAATCTTACATGATAAAAGTTGAAGTAGAAAAAAAGGTATAAGAAACATTTTAAGAAGCTCTAAAAATACATTGACATTGGTTGCAAAAGTGTGTGGGTGTTTTAAAGACAGAAAGATCTTTGTGTATGTCTTTATAATTAACTAATTAGTGATAGCCTCATTTCTCAAAATAGTTAGAAAATTAAAAGTCAACCCTAAAAAGAGTCATATGCCCATAATCTGACAATAATACTTTATATTTTTATTTGCTATAAATACTGTTGATAAAATATTTAAAGATATATAGTTTGATAGATTTTCTTGAACCTATTATATCTATTTTAGTTATGATAAATCTGGCATCTTATTTAAAGGCCTAACAACTAAAATTGCTTATAAGTGCTTTTCATTGGTGGTTTGCCCCAAGATTTTAGGGGTTGACCTGTTAATATTAAACAATGATAAACATAATCT